ATACACATCTCTATTAAGACACAATCAATTTGTCACTGCTAACTTAAATCCCACATAACGCATAGAATCGTCTAAAAATTCAATAAATTACAATATTAAAAACATCTGTAACAAAATGGAGACCTGCTAAATGGTTCGTATGTGGGATTAAAAAGATTTGCCGGATCGTTTCTGGGTCATAAAGGCTCTTAAATTTTAAGGCGATCTGTCTGGAGCAAACGGTCTGCATTCGCACTTTATAGATGTTTTAATCCTGCTCTTGAAATATGTGTAGGGGTGCCCCGCCTCGAGGGAAGCCGTCCAATTCACTGACAACCATCTAGTCGTAGCTAGAGATTAACGAATGTCTTTCCTTTTTTAGGGTAGGTCTAAATTGTGGCATTATATAGAGTCGTTTGTGAAGTTAATACCACATTTTAATCGATTTCGAAACGGTCGTTGTATGTGTAACAATATTTAATGTCTATGTCTCCTCAGATATTATAGGTTGGGATATAAAATATTCATGGCTTTTATTGAATCCATAGATTTAATGGTGGTATGATAGCTATGTTTTATGTGTGACCTACCTGAATTCTATGACTAATAAAGTAAATATTTATTTAAATGACTTTGTGCTAATATAAATAAGTTCAAGTCTATAAAACGTTTTCTTAGAAACCCCAGATTACGTACAAGATAGTTGAAATTCACGCTGCAGCTAATAAATTAAATTAAATACTTGGAACAACTTGCTTTATTCCACTTATTGCTGTAAAGTGTCTCATTTTTTACGTACGTAGGTAGCTACTTAACTTATTTTTTAAACAAAATTGCGTACACCTGTATCACTTAAGCTACTTTCTTCGAATTACCAGAAGAAAATAAAGACAGGAACGCAGGTACAGTTATAAAACATTACAGGCCAGTACTCGTACTTATCACTTCAAAAGTAAAAATGTCCTTAGTCACACAAAGATGATAGCCAGGCACACTAGCTAGCTCTATAGAATAGAAACAATAAAGCGACGTGTCAAGTCCCCACAGGGCAGGGTTACGAAAATTAGACCCCGGGGAGAACACTGCATCCGACCTGCATATGTGCATAGCAGAGTTCATGCAACATGTTCACAAATACTTTAAAAAAAATATTACAAGTGGCCAGACATCGGAAGATAGTTTTCGCTTTAGCGCCCTATATAAAAAGTTTAATAGGTCGAAAAAATTGGACGGAAAATAATTATAGATGTCACACTGTTGGGATTTCCGGATTCCAAAAATGATGATGTAATGGAAATGTCGTTTCTACTAAATTTTTAACGGTTTACTAATGTCTTCTTGTATGCAAGGCATTTGACTTTTCATCTTGATTCATTAATTGTGTCATCTATGTACACATTCCTCCATTTCATTCAAAGAATGGCTCTTTATTTTCTTAATATTTTGAGCATTATGGTTTTATCTCATAACTTATTTATCTCTATTAATCGTAAAATTGTTTGATCCAGTTTTTTCTGAGGCCCCTGGAGAGCAACTACCGAAAACACAGACAGAATTCAAGACGAGATAACTACAAAACAACGAGTCTCAAATAACAAGTTCGCTAAAACAAACACCACACAAAACAAAAGGGAATCAAATTAAAAACTAGACGATGTACGAGAAAGAACAAATGGCAAAAGAAAATAAAAAAACTGCAGAATCATGTTTCACTCTTGTTGAACGGTGTCCCGGAGTCTCTGAGCGCATTCCCAATGAAGTTATCAAGAAATACAGGGGTCTACACAGCGGGGACCCTACTGACGTACAACGTACAAAAAAGCTAACATGTCGCTCAGAAATTGCGTTACTTTTGTAAAGGGGAACTCGCGAAATAGTGAATAATGAAGGCTTCCATTCATACAGTTAAAAGTTTAAACACCCTCTATTGACTGAACAATCTCTGGGTGTGAAATGATAAATGTAAAGTCTGTTCGAGTTTGTTTGCTATTGAACGGTATAAATGATTGTATTCTATCGATGAATAGAGTAGCGGATCTTTGCAGTTGCAGATGAAGGGTGCTTTTATAAAGCCTGTAATTTATCGGGTCTTAATTAAAATTGAATTTACATTTATATGGAAACAAATAACAATGATTGTGAACCGCTGAACCATGATGAATGTAGTATTCTATAAATAATTAAGTAGGTAAAGTTTACTAATTACATCAGCTAGATATTCTAAAGGGAATCTGGTGCAACATTCTAGTCCAACACATTTTTTCTGATTACAAACAATATTTCCTTTGCTATTCTGTCTGACTTCCATTAAGTCCGCCATCCTTCTCAGCGTCCCCAAAGCATCGTTTACACAACCTTGTAACAAAAATCTATTTTCATTCTTCGTAGCTCTTATACCAGCGTCAGCCATTTTATTTTATAATACAGTTACGTATACTTGTCCGTTTTAATAAAAACTATTCTCGGGAGCCTTTTATAAAACTTGGTGGTAGAATAAGAAAACTAATTCTTATTCAAGTTGAGTGCGAACACTTATAACTTTCAACTGTTGGATTGGTTGGATCGTCTGTACTCGGTAGTGCTTCCTTTTCATGACTTTTATTATATTTTGTACTGTTTGCTATGATGGCTGACTGTTTTGATTACGCGTTGTGTTTTAAAAAAATGTTATAATGTCTTTGAGGACTTGAAGGCAGATTTTAATTTAGGTATCAAAATTAATTAATGAATTAGTCTAAGATATATTTAATTCATATGACTATATTTCACTGACTGTTGTTCCTTCTACATTTTTCGCAAAAAGGTAAAATAAATAATTTGACTCTAGTTCTCGATAAATTTTCATTACTACAGAATGATGCAGACTCCATGATATGAAAAGCAGTAGCACTTTCAAACCACTCCAGTCATTTTAATAAAATCCCAGCCATCTGTGTCCATTCAGTAATCGAAGAACGTTTTACAATTTCCAATTGTTCAGTGGGTACAAAGAAAAAGTTCCTTACTAGGAACAAAGGCCTAACGTCGGTAGGCGATGGGCCGTGGCATTTACACTCGGTTTTAATCAATAAAGTTCTGGAGCGATAGGACTCACCACAAAGGAAATTATTGAGTCGGGAAATGGTTGAGACGGGATGAAGATGATGGTTCAAGTTACGAACGGTACGGTACGGACTGCTCAATTACAAGCAATATGAATCTTTAATCATAGGTATATAAATCAGATTACTTCATGGCCTTCCAATAAAATGAAAATCAATTTATCAAGGACTGCTATAAAATAATACCCAATAAATCTAGTAGCTCCTTTCCCAGGATATCAAGTCAATATCTTATTTATATTTATTAAATCAAACGCTAATGCACTTCCCGCTATATTTTTAGCAACCATAAATTATAGCTATAAAGTAGACCGAAATTATCGTCAAAATCATAAAAACAGTAGTAAAATAGATTTACAATAAAACCTTATTGGTTCTGAAAAGATTCTCAAAGCCGTTATCGATAAACTTTATGGGATAATAAAACTGAAGAAAGGAAGAAAAAGAGACGACACAATAGATATTCGTTTAGATTCTAGAATAAAACCAACACAAACCCTCTTATTAATAAACATAGAATAGAGTAAGAATAACTTTACTCCATGGTATAAACTCAGAATAGTCAAATTCGGTATTAATAAACAAGGAGTAACGTCGGAGTAAGCTATTCCAACGTTAGTCTGAGAATAAAAGTTAGTCCATGGTGCCACATGGTTTAGCGACGGTGTAAGCTTGGATTAGTGTCATTTTGACATTTTGTTGATAGATATTTTTTTCTTCTTTATTGACAACCGAGTTTCCATCGAGTTTCCAATATGGTTTTGATGACCAGTATCGAGTGGTGTACGGCATTATCAGATAAAACCTATTTTATTATAACCTATTTCCTTGCGTTGCGGCATTACTAAGTATATAGGTACGAGACTAGCTATACCCCACGACTTCGTCCGCGTATTATAATGCCTTCTGGCAGAATGTGGATTTTTGAATAAGTCTTTTCCGAGGTTAATTCTAATGCTTTTTAACAATTATTATCAAAATCGATTCAGTACTTGTTATATTTATTGTAAAATGAATTCTTTTTTTCAAAAAATAAGCATTCGCACATGGGTTTTATCCGTCATTCCAGTGAGTTATCAGTGATAAAAATTATTTAATGTCCTTTACCGGGTTGCAAACCACTGTTGTACCGAATTTCAATAAAATAGGTTCAATGATTTAAAAGATAGAGTTCCGGAATATTAACACATAGGACCTTTGCCGTGGAATTTCCGGGACAGAACTATTATCTTTCTTATTTATAATATTAGTGTAGATTATAAGTTACTAGCTATTGTCCACTGTTTCGCTCGTGCTCATTTATGGAGTTAGGGGAAGATTTGTATAAATATGAAGCCACTAAGTTTTTTGTTAGTTACAAATAGTCAAAATACCAATTTTAATCTTTCTAACTTGAAAATTGTGAAACGCTTTGTATAAACCCACCATTTTAGGGAAGCGGGGGGCTAGAAAGAGATAGAAAGTAGCCCATCTCACTTTCTATCCCTTCAAGTACCTATCTCAACTTAAAAACACGTCAATTCGCTTTGTTTTGTCACGAAAGACGGACAAACAAACAGACACACACACTTTCTCATTAGTATGGATTCGATTTTTATGTAAAAACGCAACAACTTTTTTACACAAAAAGTTATACTATCATTATAAAACGTGGTAAAATGTATAGATATTATTTTTATTCAATATCTGAGTTATTGAGAGAATTAGAGTTGATGAGATTAGAGATGATTACAGAAGTGTGTATGACTAGCTTTTCTGCCAGCGGCTTCGCCCGCGTTCCCGTGGAATAAAAAGCCTTCGTATTATTTTAGAGTTCCAGACCATAATAGACCCCTGTATCAATTTTCATCTCGATCCCTTCAACCGTTTTGATGTGAAGAAGTCACAAACATACAAACTTTCGTATTTATAAAATATTAGTAAGATAGAGGAACGTGAAGAAGAAGAGAAATCAAAATACCGATTTACTGCAGTTTTTATTATTGACATGGTAAAAATAATCTAGCTGGTGACGCCAGAGGTGGCTTTATACCACCCTATTTGAAAGTTTTGAGTGCAATCGGAACATAGGCCCATGGAGAGGTAAATATCAATCCAAGTGGCTTGTTGCCTTAGCTTCTTGTTTTCGAGCATTGATCTTCATGACTTTCTACTGAATTTTCAGCTGATTTAACTCACGTCTGCTATTCAACTCGTTAAACCTAAAAAATACATAAAATGAATGTAAATATGATAAAATGTAGCCATGTTTATCCAAATAACTGTACAGCATTATGTGATTCAGATACTATAGGTTAACATAATATACACTGCCCACATATTCGGCTGCATGTGCATGCTTATTATCTCTGAACAAAGATCTGAACAAATGGATTAAAATAAAAATGCTGAAAAAATCTTACCTTGTATAGGGTATATTTATAATATTTCCTCCCACTCTTTTATCTTGATTGTGTTGGTGTTTGTGCTTAACGATTTATTTTCAATGATTTGAAAATATTATTTTGGAACCGAGGCGTTATAATTTTATGGCTGAAATCTAAAAATATATAAACAATATGAAGACCTTTTTTCTTTGTATACGCCATAATTAACAGGCGTCGGGAGTATTTACCTTTTGTTCTTTGCGCTAGTTAATAGCGCGGCTGTGCTTTTCGCTCGTTTTTCGTTATTTATAAATTGAATTGTATATTAATTATGTAAGTAAACAAATTAATAATTTTTCGACAAAACTGACAGCGACAGCAACTTGTCAAGATGTCAAGCTAACATACATCTGTCAAGTCAATAAAGCAGTGATTTCATAGGTTTCATACGATTTCATACCTCCTTCTCAGTCTTTTTACTTTTAAAATTTCTGGGTTACCATAATAAAAGGATTAAACCTAGTATAAGGATAGTATTGTTATTCCGAGGTTATTCCATGTTTATTAATAGGAATTCAATTCTGAAGTTAATACTTTGTTAGTCCGGGATTAGCTAGTCCAAGACTAACCTGTGAATAAGTTTGGAATAGGAGATTTTTATTAATAAGACCGAAAGAGTTTAGGAGCATTGTTTATTTTAGGAGAGGTACGTGAGAGGTTGGATTAAAAGGAGGTCCTAAGCATTTTTTGCTTGGTCAAAAAACTTGAGGACGAAACGTTAGTAAACAAATTTCTGTTATCAGAAACTGATGGAAATTTGTTGTGTGTTCAGGTCCTTTATCGTTGACATGAGCAAATAATTCGATATCCGGTTCCCGATTTAGGTTCGCTTATCTCTGACCGGGTCTTTGAGGACACCGGGCTACAGGATCGCTTTGAAGTGTAATAGATAGGCCATAGTCCCTTTGCTTATTGTACCTGACCATTAAGGGACGATTAGCTGGCTTGAATATTAGAACCTTTATACGGTCATCGTGGTCATTAAAGTTATAGTTTCTTGTAACACAGAACTGTATGCTTACCTAATTAATGGTACGTCTTCATTTCCAAGAACGCTTGCAAGACGGCAAATTTAAAATGATTTATCTCACTGCCGTCAGGTACATTTTTATTTTGATCTGAGTATTTTTAATATTATTTACATTACCATTGTTATTTTACACTTTTGTTAAAGTTGTCATAGATTTTTTCTCTCTATTTCTTAGTCTAGTGACATAACTGGCAGAATGTGTGACTATCATAGATTAATTTCGTAATGTGTTATATTTTTTTTTTCTGTTAATCCCCGAATGAGTTAACAGATGTGCATTTGTTATACGCTCACAATTCACCAGTTATATTTTTAATCCCATCGCAATAGGGCAAAACTATTATGTCTGTGTACTTTTTGGTATTAATAGTTTTTGTCCATTATGGAGCAATGCAAAGTAGCAAAAACAATTGACTTAGAGCCGATTTTTCGAACGGCAAATTGTAACCGAGTAATAACTTTGAATATATCACATGTCTTCCATATTAAAAACTGTCAAATACCAATATTATTCTACTGTTAAAACTTAACTGATAGTTGAAAAAACGGCCGTTAATTTCGAATATTAAAATATTTCAGACTGTATTGTGTGTTGATATCCCCCCCCCCCCGTCTTAAATACCAGCATTGCTCTTGTAACTCTCTAGTGTTGTGGATATCCATGGATGGTGTTGATCACTAAACATCAAGTGATCCTTTTACAAATTATTCAAAAAATCATCAATTCTCTAAAATCCGCTGTTACCTTGGACCGAAATACTGCAGCTGCATTCGGATTGTCAGAGTCGTTATTGAATTGTGGCATTGGTGAGACAGCATACTTGTATTGATAGCACTCGTTCAATAGGCGAATGGTAGAAAAATTGCTTTCCACAACAATGAAACATATTGTCTCTTCGAAATGGAATATTTTGCTTGGAACAGTTTGAACACAATGTGTTATTGCTACTCGTGGATTTGTGGACACATCCACAGCGCCAATACTAAATTCAATCAACCACCGAACTTTATTGTTGAAATATTGAGTATGGTTCTGATTTGGTATTCCTAAAATGAGTGTTAGTTCATAGGTCGAAATATATTTATTATAGAGAAAATGTTGACAATACCTTGAGTAGTTGCAAGTAGTTATGTTACCTAATTAATTACTGTGTTGTTTGTTCAATTAGCTCTAGCCGATAAACAAAATCCTAGTCCCGAAAATAAAACAAATGATAATAAGATAAACAAGTAACACAGTAAGTACAAATGCCAAAAATGCCAAAGAAAGATAATAAACGAGACACAATTTGCGCGAAATAACGGGAAAAACATTTCGGATGTTTTACTCATAAAAGTTCATAAAAATATTAAAAAAAAAATGGCGGAGTGTCATCGGAGGGAACGGTCTTCGCGACTTGTTCGGCCAAGTTGAATTACTTCCAAGTCTTGGCACTCATAAACGTGATCGTAATATTTCTTCCTCAAACCACTTTGCTTTTGAAAAGTTTTATTTTGTAATTTACTTGAAAGTGAAGCCTTGTTTCGTAACGAGATAAAAATGACAAAGTTGTAAATAATGCGGCCATCTTGTATTTTGTGCGAATGATTTAAATGTAAACTTGAGCATTTTTTTATATCCTTGTGATTCGCAGGTAGACAAATTATTTGGTATGTAGATAACAAAAACTGTCGGGAAGTAAAGATAAATTCAGTATAAGATAGACACAGCATTATACAGTAACCATAATAATTGGTACAGATGATTTGGGTCATTTAATATGCATAGTTACACGGTTTACTATGGTGCTGCTGTTGTTGCTATACTGAATTAATCTTTATTTCGTTACCTACATAGCAAATAAACAAGTTAACGACAGATTCTTTTTATTTCTACAGTTATGATCATAGTTAGCTAAACCAAATTTTATTCTAATCGACTACAGATATCAATGATACAAAACCAAGTAATCCTACCAGAAACTAAACGGACAACAATTGAAATAATAGCCTTTATGCCCACTACTCACATGAGAGCATTAGATCAAACTGTTACAAAAGATGCAATTGAGCGGAATTGTCATAGTGATTGTGAGCAATAACTATTGCCCTTTGCATTACATTTCGATCCTCCTACGTCCCACGAGTGTCGTAATAGCCGATTACTGACTGCGGAGGTTCAAAGGGATAGGATATTTTAGCAGGACTCCAGTTGTTATGGTGCGAATACAAATAATAGGAGCTAAAAGCGGTATGATATTGGAATCCCTGTATCTATTTATACCTAGGTACCTGAGGAAGGACATCGTCTAGTATACTTAAGGTTTTATCAATCGGTTAGTTGATTTTTGCCCTTTAGAAACTGAGTAAAACTATAGGAAATACATTACCAGGGCTCAATAATCTGTACAAATTGAAGCAGCTATTTTAGAATAGAAAATTCAATAACTTAACGAATTTATTCAATACATTTTCAGTTCTCTGTTTACAAAGCATTGAGCATTAATTTCATTGCAGACGTGATTTCAAAGCGAACACTTTTATTCGATTATTCGCTTGATAAGGCGCTACGTAACGAATGAGCTTGTTAATTTTGTCAATAAGGACTAAAATGTCGTGTTTATATGTTAAATACTATTTATTCTTTAGTAGACACTGTTGGTTTATGGACCTTTTCTACACAGGACGGTTTGCCATAATCACCACGCATGGCAGACGAGTTGCAGATTGCAGTTTAATTCATATTTATCATAGAGCACTACTGCTTGAACTTTGTGAAATGGGTAGCCCCTTAGTCTGTTCAAACGACACCCGCGGGAAGAGAAGCGGAACTGAAAAATGTATTGTTCTCTGCGTCATTATCACAAAAAATATGACATAGTGTCATAAATCACTTCACCTAGATATTAAATCACCTTTGATACATGGGTACTGACACATATCTCAGTTTGAACCATCATCACGTATGAAAATTAAACAAAGGGTCCGTAGATTTGGAAGTCCACTCACATCACTAATGCTGATATAAAACCTCATTATAAATCCCCTTTGGATTTCTGGCAGACGGGGGACATGGTGGAATTAGGGATGCGTGGTCACGTTCCGGGTATGAAAATAACAAGGCGTTAGACGTTTGGACTATGGACGTTGATAAAATTTATTGGACTCGAGACGTCTTATTTTGCTGCCGTTTTTGTTCATCTGGAGATTACATTTGGTAAATGAGTTATTGGATTTATGATATGTGATTTTTATGACCGAAACCTATATATTATATATATATATATATATATATATATATATATATATATATAGTGCAAAAGTGCATTTAATCTGGCGTCCACCCGCTTTTGGCGTCCGCATAC